AGAGCGTATTTGTAACTGAAATTCAGAATAGGAAAAAAATAGAATCGAGACTATAATCAATATTTTGCGGTTAGGTATGTGAACGTTCTCTCCAAAAAGACATCCTACAACTGATTATAAGACACTTAACGTTTATTGGAGGAAAAATAATAATTATAGATAAAAATTTTATATGTGTCGTTATGGACTTAAAAGTCAATGCTAGAATAAATTATAACAAATAACATCAAAATTAAGTATGAAATTAAGCTTGAAAAAAATTAAATTTAGTTTTTTAACACTTATATAACTAACATACTCCCTCCGTCCCAAAATAAGTGTAGTTTTGCACTATTCATGTCCAACGTTTGACCGTTCGTCTTATTTGAAAATTTTTTGTGATTAATATTTTTATTGTTATTAGATGATAAAACATGAATAATACTTTATGGGTGACTATTTATTTTTAGTTTTTTTCATAAGTTTTTCAAATAAGACAAACGGTCAAACGTTAGACACGGATCTCCACGACTGCACTTATTTTGGGACGGAGGTAGTAAATAATAGTAGATGCATAAGTCCAAAATTAAGCTTGTGTGAATGATAAGCTGAAATGCAAACGATAACCAATTAAACCATACATTTGCCACCTGTCCTAAACTTTGACACGGATAATTGTATTTACAGCTAACTAATTATTCTTTCAGTGATAGGTGATATACACGTCAAAGCGAGCGCTTGTGTTTGTACCGTGCACCATATATTCTTCCATGCATGGTTTCAAAACATTTTCCGAACAAATACGACAGATAGGTGAGAATCGATCCGTGCCTTTTCACCAATAGCAATCACAGAGTCCTCTGGTCATTTCGAGTTCTTAGACCATCTACACGCAACAAAACCTGCTCAAGTCTTTAAATAGTTCTATACTTCCTATGTAAAAAAAAAAAACCTTATACAGATGAATCTAAATGAATATATTTCAGATACACTCTTAGAAATTGTTTTTTTTAACGGAGAGTACTTAATTTCGGGCTGCATGCCTGCATCCACCGTGCATGCCCATATGGCATTACGGCAAAATCCTCCAATTTTTTTAAGGCAAGGGCGACCTCATCTCTCCCAATCACTCCACGCCAAGTCCACCCACAAATCCAGACATGTAACCGCAGGCAATAAACACACAGAGCAGTACAGGTACTGGAGTGAGAGTGAGAGCATGCCCGGCCTGCACTGCACGTCGCCCCTCAATTTCCTCGGACTGTTTGTTTGGGTGCACGCCAATCACTCATCACCAGCAAGGATTATACCCCCCCCCCCCCCCCCTGCACGCTGATCGGATCTGCAGCTTCATGAATGCAAAGCGCCTACCCCAGCGTCCCAGCCAGCTGCGCATGTCGTTGCCTGCAAGTTTGAGCATGCATATGCTTTGCAATTTTATTGTGTTCTCGGGTGACTGCGTGCAGTGCATCCATGGCTAACCTGCAACAGCAAGACTAGGCTAATGGTGATCCCCAAACAGCGAGCCGACGCGTACCTGACCTGCAATTTTTTTTAAAAAAAAAAGCATGTCTGAATTTGAGAGGATTGGGAACTTGTAACAGCAGTTTGTTGCTTGCAGCTACCGTGGACGAAACGATGAACCCTTGGTGAAAATCAGGTTTGATCAGACGACAACTCCGATCTACCTGGCTCAGGATTTTATTTTATTAGTCTTTGACGGGGACCTGACCTGAGACATATGGCAATCTCTGGGTCTCACATTAATCTCTGGGTACTTTCCTATGGCAATGCAATGCGTTTATACTGTGAGCTGTGGCTGTGCGACTGCTAGTGCTAAGCTATAGTGGTATACCCTGTGGAGTACTCCTCTGTATGGAGAAATTCTTCATGCTGCACTGTACAGACATGTCACATTGGTGATTGGCCGGCCCGTCAGTATCTCGCAGGACAGATGCAACCAAAGGATGACCGCACGTAGCTCTGTGTTGACTATTTTTTTTTTTTTGGCAAAAGGAAGGCCACGCCATGGCCTTATCGGCTTGCTCCATTGCGTTATTGCGTACCAATGTACTATACCTCCGTTTCTTGGATTTAAATTCTCCCCATCATGACCATTGACAAAGTACTAAGTACATGTCTACATGAGCATACGATCGTGATCGAGCCTGCCGCTGCCCACTGAATTCGAATTCTCGGTTTTCCCTTCGAAGTCTAGTGCTATTTGTTTCTTCTCTCGCATTTTGTAACTGCTACTGATCCTTGTCCTTTTGCACATCGTCACTCGAGCAGAGCAGATGCTCGATCTCCGAAAATCTCAATAAGGGAAAAAAAAGTACTCAATCCGTCTAAAATATAAGCATTTTTAGCATAGTGATAAGTCAAATATTTTTAACTTTGATCATTAATAAAAAAATAAAAAAGATCAATCATATAAAATTGATGTTATTAGATTTATCATTAAACAAACTATCATAATATACCACTCTTTTAATTTAAAACATCTTACTTTTATATATATTGTTAGTGAAAATAGCATCTCAGAAACTATATCAGAGTTAAAAAATACTTATATTTTAGGACAGAGGGAGTAGCCATCCGCCATGTACTCTGCTTAGCTCTAAACCTGTACGGCCGGCTGCATCATCATCATCATCACCATCTCATCATCAGAGGAAGGCAAGCTGCCATGCTGCCGCGCGCCATTGGTGGTGAAGCCACCTCCAACCAACTGGCTGATCTGCCGCCCAGTCAATGGTGCAGCTCATCAGAAAAAAAAAACAAGAAAAAGAAATTGGCCAAACATTTTCTTGCCTCGCGCAGCTGCGCCGTTGCCCCGCGCGCGCGTCGCACAAGCAAGTAAGCAACAGCCACAGGGCGCCGCACCAACCCGGAGCAGTCACCGGTGATCGATCCGACCCTGCAGAGTCCGGGCTCCAGTGCTCTCTCCACGGTACTCCCTCCGTAAAAAAAAAAAAAAATGGCTACGTGATTTTACCTACGATAAAAAATCTAGACATAGTTATCCAGATTAGCCTTTTTAAGAAAAAAAAAGTATACGTGGAACACAGTCTAGACATAGTTATCCAGATTAGTCTTTTTAAGACAAAGAAAGTATACGTGAAAAAAATGTTTTTTAAATACTTTTTATATTGAACTTTTTTAAAAAAATAAATAGATCCTGTTTTTCTATAAGATATAACAATTAATATTCAAATAATTATATGTTAATTAATGATTTGTCTCATTTTAGATGCAAGTGAGAAAGGTAATAACTACCCCACTGAAACTGTGGTCAGATCATGGGTTGGTTTTCAGAATATGGGTAGTAAACTACTCCTGGAGTAGTGATTGGCTGCAGGTTGACGATGACATGATCAAAACGAAAGGGCCAATTTTCCTGGAGATGACTACAGTACAAATACGGACGACAATAAGAAAGGGAAATCTCCCCAGGAAATTTTAAAAAAGGAACATGGAGGAGGAGAAAGTAGAAACCTGAGTAATGCCTTGTTTATGTAATATAATGTATGGGGATGAGTAACAGGTACAACTAATAAATTCATGGTCCACACAAGCTTAATTTTGGACTTATGCATCTACTATTATTTATGTTAGTTATATAAGTGTTAAAAAACAGTCCACATAATAATATCTACGAGTTGCTCTGTTGACTTTTAGAGGACGTTTTTTTTTTTTGAAATTGTTCTTCAAGAATGAAGTTTGATAATTAATTTCCCATAAAATGTATTTTTAATGGATATAGACTACATTGTGCGAAAGCACTTTGAAGTATAAATCTATCGGTGCAGGTCTATGCACTAAACACATTTGTAATTGAGCTATTTGTCGATCAAAATCCACAGAGTTTGACTTTTCAAAATTAAAATGTCTTAACAAAATTCAATACAGGGAGAATATATATTAGAAAAATATTGAGAGCATTATATATCGTATTGAAGCACAGTGGCAGTCGTTTTACTTTTATAGAGAAAAACCGACACATGGATATATACCACGGCCATTGGTAAGTGTAGGCTAATCTCACACGTTATTTTTGTTCTATGATAGTGTATATCCATTCCCGGGTACTTGTCACCACATACTATTTATACTCAAATTTTGACCACAACTATTCTAGCAGCTAAATTGTAAATATTTGAAATTATACCATAGTATTGAAGCATGTTGCATGCTAAATATATAATCATCTAACTTCCACGCATAAAATTTGACATTTGAGAAATATTTGAGAACGAAGCGAACATTAGAGTGCGGTGAAAACGACTTGTAAGAAAAAGTATGGTAAAAAGACCTGGTTCAATCCTATGTCCTAAGTACCATGTTAATGAGAGAAGAATATACGGTTTGACACATGTGGAAATTTTAAAAGTATGGCGGGGGATTAAATTATAATGGTGTAAATTAAAACAAAAGACACATGTGGAAATACAATTTAGAAAAAAAAGGTGATACTGTTTAAAAAATAATCTTGACTATACACCTAGACAATATAATTAATAAATATACCATAGAGGAGTTCATGTCAAAACAACGCATCAACAATGGAATTTTTGTTTGGATTATTGGAAGATAAAGATAGAACTAGTAGTTTGCTCACTGGATAAATTCCAAAGTAAATAAAATACTTTTGATTCTTGAAATACAAATATACTTTAAATCAAAACCAGCTGCCCAAAAGTTGGCCACTAAAAGCTGAAGCAAATAGCATACCCTTCCATTTGGCAAACGTCCAGATCATGATCTGATTATTAGCCTATAGGCAACCAATTGAACCAAAGATGCCCCGTAATATCACCCCCTAATTCTCAGATCGAGCACCGGGACGACACTTAACTGACGTAATCGGTAGAAAAATAAACTATTACAACTATAGCAACCCAACTAACTACAAACACAGGTGAGGTGATCACCGGCATGAGAAATTTGAAATGGAAAATAAAAATAGTGCCATGCGTTGATCCGTCCCAGTACACCAATTTCAGAAGCTTGGGTGTTATGCCCCCAAATCGTCACTTCCCCCTGATTCACAAGCAAGCCCCAAATCATCAGTGTGTGACAGAAAAACCCCCCTTAAAAACGTCCGTGCGGTGGGCGTAGGTTAAGAGAGACCGTGCGCGCGCGAAATCTCTCACACGCCCACAGCTCAAACGCGCGCGCGAGAGGAGGGGAGGGGTTTGGTTTGCTTGGACACTTTGGTTTGGTCGGGTAGCTCACCTCACTCTCATCCGACCAGCGACTCTCTCCCTCCTCCTCGCTTGCACACTTCGTACTCTCTCTAGTCCCCCGCATACATGTCGTCCGCGGCCGTGGCGTCTCCGAGGGAGACGGTGTCGCCGCCCATGTCGCTGGGGAAGGTTGGTGTCGCCGTCGTCGGCGGCGGGAGGAGGAGGTCGAGGTACCGCCTCGAGACGAGGGGGTTGTCGTACGTGCTCCCGGCGAGGGGGGCGGCGGCGAGGTTGTTTCTTGGAGGCGGTGGGGAGGAGAGGTTGCTCCTGAGGGGCGTGACGTGCGAGGCGCCGCCCGGGGAGGTGGTGGCGATCGTCGGGCCGAGCGGGGCCGGGAAGACGACGCTGCTGTCCGTGCTGGCCGGGTCGGCCGACCCGGCGAGGGTGGTCGCCGGCGAGGTGCTGGTGAACGGGCGCGCCATGGACGCTGCGAGGTTCCGGCGGGTGTCCGGGCACGTCCCGCAGGACGACGCGCTGTTCCCGATGCTCACCGTGGAGGAGTCGCTGGTGTACAGCGCGCGGCTGAGGCTGCGCGGGGCGGGCGGCGGGAATGGCGGGGCGGCGGTGGCGAGGGCGAGGGAGCTGATGGCGGAGCTCGGGCTGCGGCACGTGGCCGGGTCGAGGGTGGGGAGGGTGTCCGGCGGCGAGCGGCGGCGGGTGTCGATCGGCGTCGACCTCGTGCACGACCCGGCCGTGCTGCTGCTCGACGAGCCCACCTCGGGCCTCGACTCCGGCTCCGCGCTCCACATTGTCAAGATGCTCAGGGACATGGCCGCCGCGCACGGCAAGACCGTCGTGCTCACCATCCACCAGCCCGGGTTCCGCATCCTCGAGCTGCTCGACCGCGTCGTCCTCCTCGCCGACGGCGCCGTCCGCCACCACGGCTCCCTCGGCTTCCTCGAGGCTCGCCTCGCCGCCTCCGGCCACGGCATCCCTCCCCACGTCAACGTCCTCGAGTACGCCATGGAGTGCATCGACTCCCTCAAGCCCGAGGTCACCACGGCGGACGCGAGCCACGCGGACGCCGCGTCGGGGTCGTCACGGCGGCGCGCGAGCTCCGCGCCGTACGCGAACTCGGCGGCGGCGGAGGTGTGCATCCTGTCGGCGCGGTTCGCGAAGACGGTGCTGCGGACGCCGCAGCTGTTCGCGGCGCGGATGGCGCAGTCGCTCCTCGCCGGCGCGTTCCTCGGCACCGTCTTCCTGGGCGCCGGCGACCTCCAGTCGAGGCTGGGCTTCTTCGCCTTCACCCTCACCTACGTCCTCTCCTCCACCACCGAGGGCCTCCCGGTGTTCCTCCAGGAGCGGCGCATCCTGGAGCGCGAGACGTCCCGCGGCGCGCACCGCGTCGCCTCCTACGTCGCCTCCAACGCCGCCGTGTTCCTCCCGCTCCTCCTCGCGTCGGCGCTGCTGTACGCCGCGCCGGTGTACTGGCTCGCCGGCCTCGCCAGGGAGCCCGGCCGGTTCGCCTACTTCTCCCTCGTCGTCTGGCTCGTCATGCTCACCGCCAACTCGTTCGTCGCGTGCTTCAGCGCGCTGGCGCCCAGCTACATCGTCGCCAACTCCCTCATCGCGGGCCTCATCGGCTGCTTCTTCCTCTTCTCCGGCTACTTCGTGGCGAGCAAGAACATCCCCAGGTACTGGGTGTTCATGCACTACGCCAGCCTGTTCAAGTACCCGTTCGAGGCGTTCCTCGTCAACGAGTACGGCGGCGCGCGCGGCGGCGCCGAGTGCCTCGCCGAGGTCGGCGGGGGGCTCTGCGTGCTCGACGGCGCCACGCTGCTGCGGCAGCAGGGGATGCGGGCGAGCATGCGGTGGAGCAACGTCGCCGTCATGCTCGGCTTCGTCGTCGGCTACAGGCTGCTCTGCTTCGTCTTCCTCTGGTTCAGATGCCACCGCATGAGGAGGTGAAGCGCGCCAAAAAAAATGCAAATAGTAATTGCTCAATCTGAATTCGACATTTTTTTTCTTCTCTTTTTTTGCTGTGCTTTTTTTTCTCTGAGACATTTTCATCTTGGGTTCGAGTAGGATAATACGAATATATATATATATATATATATATATATATATATATATATATATATATATATATATATGTAATTAAATTGTATGTATGGGAGATATTGATCAAATTCTGGTGGAATTGGATGTTCTTATGTATGAAAAATTGGGAGAAATAATTTGATGGTCAGGTGGTTTTTTGTTTGCTTGTTACTTTGTGATTGTGTTTTTCAAGTATTATTAATTTATTTATCATTGCCCTTTTTGTTTGTGTCCTTTTCCAAGTATAGGGAAGAAACTGTCGCATTCGTGTTAGATTTGCCATTTTGATGGTCTCTTCTAGAGGTAGATGGGAAAAGCAAGATTAAGATGCTAATCATATGAGGTGAGACAGTGATGACAAAGGTCAAAGTACATGCAGCAGGTTGGAGGCATGCCTAATTTGCACCTGTTTTATTGAAACAAAAAGGGTAGCTCTGCTAGAAAATCAAGTGCTAATCAATTGTCAGGACGCAGCCATTTTCCTGTTTCTTACCCAAAAATCTTCCATTTCTGCATTCAAAACAAAATAAGCTAATCATATTGTATTCGTTAAGTGGAGGAAATGAATAATGTACTCCTATCAAGGTTTGAGATTCTTGATGTCTTGAGATGTTCTTTTTTTTTTCAGCTGACGAATTCTTTTCAACTGGGTTTAGTTTTGTGAAGTTGAATTTTGCTCGGTACAATGAAGAACAAGGTGGTGGAAGCTAAAAGCGATGTATGCATAATACGCAACTCCACATTTTATGATAGAGCAACCTTTTAACATAGTACAGCTTTACAAGTTTTACCAAACCTTTGTTAACTTGCACACTCGAATTTAATTACCTTTTGTCCCTACCGTTCCACCAACTACTTTTCTCCCCCACAATCTAAAACCTCATAGCTGGCAATCTAGCATTTTTTTTAACATTATGGATGTAAGCCAACAATTTGACTTAAATTAGATCCATCTACTCCTCCCGATCATGGTAATATGTCATTTAAATATGAAACATTGGTACAATCTTCGAAATTAATTGTAACCATCAATTTCCTATAAAATGTATTTCAAAAATCCATAAAATTACAATATTGTAAGAGTGTATATTTTGAGAAATATATGACCGTATGAGCTTCATGTATCAAATCAAAATATTTTAAGAGAAATATAAGAAATGTCATTGATAAACGTCCAATTCTAAAAAATGCTATCCATAAGTACGAGTTTCATGAAATGCCATCATTCAAGCAACTATGATATAGAAATATCATCGTTAAGTGCTATAGAATGAACAGTGTATTTAACAATGTGGAATAGATGGAACTCTAACGATGATGATATCTTCGGGACAAAATCGATTGTACTATAACATTTTATGAAACTCACACTCGTTGATACAACTCTTGGATTTGGGTGTTTGTCAATGGCAATTTTTAGATTTTTCTCATGTTTTAAACGATAATTGCTGTCAAATTTTAAAGTTTAACTAAAAACATACAAACGACACGTTCTCAAGGCTAGTGAAAGTAGCTCTTGTGAATCTCAAAGAATTTTCATTCCGAGATACATACGAGGGCCAACAGCCCAATATTAACCAAATAAAAAGGAGGTGTCACTGACGTGGTGATAAAGTTGTATGTAGGTGATTATAGCTTCGCTTATTATTGTTTAAATCTGGATGCTCATAAATATTACGCACATACCGGTGAAGTTTTATTAGAATTTTAGTAATACTAGGTAGTTGCCATAGGTCTCCATCTCTATAAGCGTGTATTACTATATTATGAATGTATTCGTGGGTGCATGAGTATGGTGTTACGTCTAGTGGCGTGTACGTGCATATGTTTCTTTTGCGCGATCTATGTATTCTATATCGTTGAAATAAAAAACTAAATATGCATTAAGCCACACCACCTAAAAAAATCTTGACCTTTGGATCATCAATTAGAGAGCTAGGAGGAATAAGATGATGTGAAACTAAAGAGTTATAAAGACATTTAGTTCTCTTCGGTTAACATTCATTTTATTGTTGTAATTACGGTACGTTCGTGTAGCTTCAACTTTCAATTGAAAAACTATTGGGCATATAAGTGAAGAGCTTTAAGCCATTTATGGTGCTATTCATTGGTAGTAGAAAGAAATATTAACTATTGATCTTATTTGATCGAAGAGTTTAGATCTATATATATCACCTTAGTTAGAAGTAATAGAAACATAAAGAAACATCATTGTTAAAAAAAGTGTGGAGAGGCATAATCATCATTTAGCAGTGACTAAACATTTTTCCACATTTTTTTGGGCTTTTTCGATGGAATATGAGCGATGCTAGGGTAATGGATTACCACATATCGATCTAGCTGAAAAAATAAACATAAATAACAAACTTATCCTTAATCATTGAACTAATAAATTACTGATTTATAAAGTATATTACCAGTAGAGAGCACCGTAGCATCGCTCATATTTCTGTTCTTTTGTATATTTTCTATGGCTCGTGTATCTTCAAAAATCATTTATCTTTACATAGTAGCAAAGCACAACATACCATCTATCGAAAAGGAAAAAATAAAACATCAACCAGCTGGGAGGCTTTTGATTGACGCTGGCCAAAAGCACAATCTTTTTTTTTCCTCTCTGAAGCAGCAGAAAGTGAAAGGATTCAGAAAACACACCTTATTGTGTCGTGGGCATGGTGGGGTGTACCGCACATGTCACACCGTCACCGCAAATGGCATGACCATGTTGAGCTTAAAATTTTGCTACACCAAACATGTCTGCATATAGCTTTCCAAAACAAATTTTATTCCAAACAGTAATTCATGGAGCTAAATTCATACATTTTGACTTTTGAGTATCCCGTTCCAGTATTTACAAACTATACTGCATGGGTGGCATGCACTGACATCGATCTCACTCTCGTATTCCCATCCATCCCGAGAAAATGGAAGCATAAACTTCACGTGTAACGTAAAACTAGAAACTACTGTTGAATAAAGAGTACTACCTCCGCCCCAAAATAAGTGCAGCCGTGGATATCCGTGCCCAACGTTTGACCGAACGTGAATAGTATAAAACTGTATTTATTTTGGGACGAAGGGAATAGATGTTTAAGATTTATCTACATCATGTTATATCACGAGTAAAAATTTTATTTATTATGATGTGGATAATTTTTAGATGTCTTTTTTTTAATTCAATGGTCCTTTACATGTTTGCGCTAGCTACTTAAGCTATACATATTTCTCCATGCATCTCGACCATCCGGTGCACCGTGCACAGCGTACGTCCCAAACATAAGCAGCAGCATCTCTTTTTTTTTTTTTTGAAGCAGATCAAATTTTCAAGCAGCATCTCATCAGTGCGCGGCAGCAGAGAGAACGCGGGGTGCTGCTAACTCGCCGGCTAAAATGTGACCCCGGGTCTCCTAATATACTTTATTTGTTTTAAAATGGTTGACGCCGTTAATTTTTTAAGTACGTGTTTGATCATTCGTCTTATTAAAAAAAAATTAAGTAATTATTTATTCTTTTTATATTATTTGATTCATTGTTAAATATACTTTCATGTGCACATATAGTTTTACATATTTCACAAATTTTTTTAATAAGATGAACGGTTAAACATGTGCTAAAAAGTTAACGGTGTCAAACCATTTTAAAACGGAGGCCGTCGCCCGTCGCCATCGTCGTCGCGATGAAGAATGCGGCGCCGTTGGCTTTGCGGCGGTTGCCCGCCACTACGGCGTGCAAGCATGCATGCAGGCTGGTCGATCGATCGCCCGGCACGCGCGGCGGCGGTGCGCAACAGAAGTAATGCTCCATGCCATGCATGATGCATCGATCCTCTGTACATCATCATCCAGCAGCTAGGATTGCATTCAGCGCGTGGATGAGTGGATCGAATCTCCGAAATGGAACGGGCAGGAGGGGTCCGATGAGGTCGGCGACGATGCATGTTGCTGTCGATCGAGCTAATTCTAGCCGATAATTCCATTGGCCAAACTCTTTGTCTGCACAACCAATGAGCGATCAGTCATCAGTTGGCTGTGTTCGTTTTGGTGTATGGCTCTATATCGTTGCGATCAGATCGATCAAATGATGGATGATGTGAGGAGGAGGGAAAAAAAAGGAAAAGGGACCCGAGTCGCTGTCGATATACACCATTATCGATCTATATCTATATCCATAGATCGGCGATGGTATCGATCCACCATTGGCTAGCTAGCTCCTTTAAACTTGCATTGCGTTGTACGCTTAAATTACCCGTTTGGTTTCCAACCCAATTATGATGGGAGCCGAATAGCCGATCTGCCTCCCTCTGCTGGTGCGTTGCACACACGAAGGTCAAAAGTTTTGAGCCAGATAAATTGACGGAGATTACGCTGCGTGCGCACTGGCGCGAAAAAAAGAACAGATTGGCCAGAGTGCCAGCCCCAGATAAATAATGGCGCGCTTTTTGCGCTTTTTGTTGTGAATGTGATCTATCGAGAGCGAGAAGAAAAGGCGCTTCGCCATTGTAGTCGGCTGAGTGGTGTCTCACACACAATGCTTTCATGTTTCATCAACAACTCGGAGGACATCCGTGTGTGATGAGCAAGATATATTGATATTCCTTTTTTTCTAATTAAAGTATGTTGATCAACTGTAGACTTAACCTGCTATTATTGCACCGTTCCACCTTTACTGTACATCCACCTCAGCATTAGTCACGCTCCATATGATAAATTAAATATTTATAAATATGAAATTAACAAATATTAGCTCCGAATGGTTCAAGCAACACAATACGAAAATAATTTTTTTAAAAAAATAATTTAAGAGACTTGAAGCAAATAATCCGTGATGATAATTTTGTGTGGTAGCTAAAAAGAATGAGGTCGACGAGTGAAATGAGCAACTATAATGTTGTACTCGGTGGGTGTCAATGGGTGTAAAATGAGGATGTGCCATCGGGGAAAATTAATTATTTGTCACTATTG